CCCCAGAACAGATAAAAACATTTCTCCTCCTAAATAAACCAGTTCAGGTCAATGTGACAAGTGAATCAAAAAATAATGTTCCGATTAAAGATTCTGTAGGTTTTCTGTTCCCCAACAGACCCTATTTGAAGCTTTAAAAAAAATTAGGGGCCTATATATTGAGAAAGATTTCAGTACCTTCTGGATCAATAAGGATTACCATTATTTAGTTAAGCCCAAATTTATTATAGTAAAATCAATGTTTTCAGTGTCGAAAAGCATTAAATCTCTTCTGACACCAGTTGTACTACACTTTCAATATTATGATACCAAAAGAAGTATTTCTTAAAAAGTGGTCTGCTGAAATCAAGACAATATAGCTGCTTTGTTTTTTTAGAAATAAATGAAAATAATTTGTTCTAGGTACGAATTTACTTAAGATTTCTACCAACAGCCAAACAGTTAAAAGCAACATTAGATACATAGTTCTGTTAAATAACTTTACAAGTTACTTGTAAGGCCAGTTCTGAAAATGTAATGTGTATATCCATTGCCATCCGCTTTGATAAGTACACAAGCTTTTTAGAAAAATGACAAAATCAACCTAGTCTCTGAAACATGACCAACTCTCCCTCACACCATATCCAAAGTTTAAAAAAAAAAAAAAAGGTGGTTGTTTAAAAATAGAGCTTATTCTCAGTTTCCACCATTCTTTCTCTAATTCTTATGTCCTCAATTACATTCTTTAAATTTCCAGTCAAAGTCTTGGTTGTGGGAAAAACATTAACTTGCAGAGTCCAACAATGACATAGTATCTCGAGGGGAAGGCAATCCTACCCCTTAAACTTCAAGCAGAAAGGAAGCAACGGCTACCTTCGTTTGCACCCTCCTTCAGGACCTAGAACTTCACATTTAATGTAGTTCTTGGTTTACCGGCGGGTTCGAGGGTGAAATTTACTTCCTTCTCTTTCCTCCTTGGTGTTGACCTCCTTTCCTCTTGCCACCCAAGCCAGGCGGCCCGGAATTCATCTTGCCTCCCAAGCCTCCTTTCCTCCTCCCTCCTTGGCTGGGCAGACCCCCTTTCCTCTTGCCTCCAGGGCCCTGCCGGCCCCCTGGCCCCTGCCGGCCCCCCTTTCTCCTGCCCTTTTGGCTCAATTTCCTCCTCTTGGCTGCCTCCTCCTGTTCCTCCTCCCTCATCTGCTTATTGGTGGCCCTCGTTATATCCAGCTGAGGCTTTTTGCTGTTCATGACTCGCAGCATCTCCAACTGGCTCTTCTTCTCGGCTGCAAAGTCCCCGAAAAGAGGCTGAAACTTTCTCTTCTTGCCAGAGCCCCGGGGCGCCTTCTCCTTGGGCAGGCGCTCCTGGAAGCGCCCCACAGAAGCAGTGGAGACCTTGGCCACCTGCAAGGCGCGGCCCAGCTCCTCCTTACTCTGGTGTCCCGTAGGGTGCAAGCCAGCCGCGCTGGGCAGCTGCGTCTTGTGCGAGCGAGCTAAATTACGCAGCCGGTTCAGCTCGTTCTTGGCCACCCGTTCCTTCTTAGCCTGAATCCGCTTGGCAAACTGGTCCTCCAAGGGGTCGGCACTGCCGGGCATCTCTATCAGCCATTCCTTGGTGTCGTCACGGGCGCGCTGGTAGCCCCAGCGGCGCCGCCACTGGCCGCTCACCTCGTCCCACACTAGATTGGTCTTCTTCTTGGGACGGATTCCTTTGAGGCGCGCGAACTGCTGCCAGCGTGTAAGCGGCCGCGGCCGGGGCACCGGCTTCTCCCGCGGCAGGCGAGTGGTGGGCTCCGGCAGCCGCGCCACCAGCGCCTCCTCCACGCGCTCCGTGGGCAGCTGCCACAGCTGGTTGATGAGCAGTTGCGTGTTGTCCCGCGCCAAAGCCCGCAGTTCGGCCTCTGGAGTGGGTCCCTCGCGCCGCAGGCCCGTAGGGGGGTTCCGGTCCAAGGCCAGCAGGTTACCCAGGTCGAATTCCAGCTCCAGTTCTTTGTGCACCGTAATGCGCTGCAACTTCTCTGCCTCGTCCTGCTCCGCCCTTGCCAGCAGCTCCTCCACGTTCTGGCCCTCCATGGCTCCGGCTCGGCGGTTCAAATCACTTCTCCGCCAGCGCCGGCTCAAACTAAACCAAGAGAAACACGTGCGACCGCGCAGACGCTCGCCCCGGAAGAGAAAGCTCCACTTCCGGAGCAGCCGGAACTGGCTCACAATCCGGGCTACTCGAGGGAAGACCGACAGAGGGCGGTGTTGGAGAGCAGATGGGATTCGTGGCGGTCCTTTTGGCTGCAGCCCTGAAGGAGGTGGAGCTGGCGGGAGGAGCCTAGACTACAAATTTCGGAGCCTTATTGGGATTGCGGGTCCCACGAGGCAGTGGCACAGGTGGGCGGCGCAGGTTCGTGGGGCCGCAGATTGTGGGGTTTCTTCCGATTCTGTCACATTTCAGTGAAAATGCGTTCTCAAGATGTTTCGCTAGTCAGCCCTTTTGGGGACTCTATTTCACCAGAGCCCGACCTACTCGTGGCGGTCCTGAGTGTGGGCCGAAAAAGACACTTTCCACAGATACCTGCGAAGCTAAGTGTAGAAGAAGACTCGGTTCGCTTTGGGAGCGAGCGGGGCTGACAGACCGTTCCGCGTGGGCCCGAGCGCGCGCCCACCCTCGCCACCTGAACGCTGGTAGTCCAGCGTCCCGGGCCCCATCCTCTCCTAGCTTGTGGCAAAAGAGCGCCGGCCTCTGCAGTTAGGGTGCCTGGGTTCCAATGCTGACGACCAGGGTTTTGTTTGACCTTAAGCTTTAACTCGTTTTAGCCTCTTTTAAAAACCAACCTCCTAGGGCTGTTACAAAGATAAATGAGTTAATATTCCCCCAAGGGAGTTTAGACTAGGGCCTGGAACATGTAAATACTCAATAAATGTTAGCTAAATACCAGTTATTTAATCTTCGGAATGGCTTTGGGAGCTAAACTGAAGAAGCAGTCTTACACAGTGACCAAACCCTAGGTTCTTGAGTCAGACCACCTAGAATGAGATCTAGGATTACTGTATCTACCTTGTACAGGTTGTTTAACCTAAGTTGTCATAAGTTAATAAATATACAACAGTTTCTGGTGTATGGTAAGTACTCAATAAGTTAGCTGTTATTCACCATATTCTTCTGATGACAGAGGAAGGCTCGGAGAGGTAAAATGACTTGTCTAAGGTTATACAACTAGGAAATGTGAGAGCAGGACGTGGCTTACTCATGGCTTTAAGACTATGTACATATTCTCTGTAATGTTTTCCAGGCTCTTGATACTCTAAAAGTGTGGTCTCTGGACCAGCATCATAGCACCAGCTGGGAGTTTGTTAGTAATGCAGAATTTCTGGCCTCACCCCAGACATAATAATTCAGAACCTTCATTTTAATAAGATCTCTAAGTGGTGAGTATGTACAGCCATGTTTCTGAGGCACTGCTGATTGTGTTGTGCACAGATTTTGTTTTTCTTTAAAGGGTAGTTGGGAATAGTGAAGAGGCAGACATGCTGGAGAATTAACCTATAGAAACGGACAGAATAGCCATTAGGAAATAGATTTCAATTGAGTTTCTGCTAGAGAGGGCTTTAGATACAGCTGCATCTGTCACACCTGCCCCATGAGTTTGGCCTCTTTGTGAGCTATCTTTCCTCAGCTCTCCGTTGTTCGTTAATTCATAAACCATAAAATGAGCACATTTTATATTTCAGGTATTGTGCTAGAATCTTCTTTATCTTTTCTAAAAGAGTTTTAGGATTTGCCAGAGTTTTTCTGAAACTTTACCTAATACTCAGCACCAAGTCTTTAATACCAATCATCCCCCGGGCCAAGGCTAGGTCAATTGCCTTATTGGGTAACTGGTTTGAACTTTAAAATTTTGGGGATTTGCTGTGGGAGAGCGTTAAGGACACTGGCAGCTGCTCTGGACTTGGCTTAGCTTTTGATTCATTTATTGATTTAACAAATATTTGAATACTACCATGTTTCATACAGTAGATGCAAAAATTATTGAAACCTTATGGAACAGTGGGGAAGAAGGAAAGGTAAAGAGAAATTTACCATAATGCATGATTGGGCTTTTAATAGGAAGTGCAACTATGTAGGATTTAGCTCCTTTATCAATCTTCTGAGTTAGATTTTAAAAAGCAGATGTCGACAAGTGTTGAATGGTATGGATTCTCACTGGATGAAGTACTATTTGATTTGAATCACACAAGTTAGCTCTTAACTGAACTCTATTTTATGCTCAATTTTTTTTTTTTTTCAGTCCAAGTGGATTCTAATTTCCTTGATGACTGGAGACTGAGGTTTTACTTCCACTTTGCTGAGCATAGTGCTAGATACATAATAGGTATTCAATACATGGTTGCTCGAAAGAATAAGTTTATTAAATAGACTTTTCTAAATTAAAAAAGTATTAATGTTGACTATGTTAGATTCAAGGTAAGCAAAACTATTGATTGGGAATTAGGGCTTTAAAAAAATCATTGAGGCGAGTGTGTAAGTGGAGGTCTCCAGCTTGCATTTGTATCATCTTTATGTTAGGTAAGATTGTTTCGTGCAGTGTCAAGAAAAGTAGAGCCTACCAGGGATGTGCAATTATTGAAATGTGAAATTATTTTAACAGTACAGCAAGTGGTTGCACATACTGTCTTTCCTTTGTTGGTTTTTCCCTTTGTCTTTTCTCTGTTGGTTTTCCTTCCTCCTTTTGTCTCATAAGCAGACAGATCTCAAGTTTGGTCACTAGATCTTTCTTCTTTTCTCTTTATACCTGCTTTCTATGCCATTTCATACACTCATGGTATCAGCTGCCAGTTTGGGGCAGATGGTTCTTAGAGGTACATCTTTATTCCTTTCCTTTTCAGAGCTTTAGGCTCAAATCTCCAATTACCTGCTGGGCTTTTCCACCATACTCTAAATGCAGTATGTTTAAGGTCACATAACATCCATCCATGCCTCCCTCCTCCCCAGAGAAATGTTTATAGAAAGTCTTTCATGCCCAAGGTACTCTGCTGGGCATTGGAAATACAATGATTAGTAAAAAATGGCTCAGTTAATGTTATTGACATTCTAATCTAGTAATTCAGGCTTGAAACTATGATGTCATCCTTGACTTTTATCTTTCTACTCCAAATCCACTCAGGTAGGAAGTCCTGTTAAATCTGTCTCCAAACTGTCCCCTTTCAATTACTGCTAACATAACCTTGATTATCTAGATC